GGGATGGGCCTGGAGCCTTGGCACTAAGTGAGTAAATCACGTTTGAGCCCAGCCTGGTTTTAGCTGATGTGAACCAGTGCAGCGCCCCTGGAAGTTGTGGAGTTCTCTGGGTTTGGGCTGCTGATGGTTTGCCCATTGTCTGTGCTGGTTTAGAGCTGCTGGAGGTCAGGGCTGCTGGGCATGCTGGAGTTGGTCTAATTTCCTAGGAGGTGATTTTCTCCAGTTTTTAAGCACAGGATCCCCATCTGTCTGTCTCCACAAAGCTGGCTTTCCCGTCTGCAGGCCTGCACAGAGACCCTCCCTCCTCCCCCCCTTCTCACACCACCGACTGCACCACGCGTCCTTTTGTCCGTTCCAGATCCTCCTTCCCCTCCCTCTCGCCGTGTTCTCTCCTTGCCCACCTTCCCTTTGCCGTTTTGGGGTGTCTTGGCTTTGCTCCCACACGCCTCATTCTCCTCCTCCCTTGGAGGGATCAGGGTGTGCCTCTCCCTCAATTTCCACCACCTTTGCTCCATCCCCAACTCCCTCCCACTCCTGCAGCTCGTGTAACGCGCTTACATTTGCCCTCATTCATGTGTATTCCTTGCCACTGCTCCCTTCCATCTGTCCCCAGCACGGAGCCCCCGTCCTTTGTCACCGCTCTGCCTGCCTGACCCTCCCTGTCGGCTCCGGGATTGTTTCCTGTCCTGCCGGGCTCAGATCCCTCTCCCCCACACGCCGTCATTGTCCCACAGCTCAGAGCAGCGCGGAGCCCGGTGCCAGCCGTGCCACACGCCTGCCCGAGGTCCTTTCCGCGCAGCAGAGCGAGCCTGGCGCTCCAGAGGCAGAGCGCGGGTCACTGCGGAATTCCACGGAGCTCCTGCAGCCCGGGGTGATGCACGGGGAGGCATTTTCAGCTGGATGCTTGCTGGGAACACCCCTGTCTTTCCATGTGATGCTCTGGTGATATCCCTGGGGAAATGGTGGCATCTCGGTTAATCTTCCTAAGATGGAATCTCCCTCTTTGGAGAGGGAGGGAGCAGCACAGGAGCGGGGCAGGGAAATGTCTGCCAGGGGTGGGTCAGGGACAGCCCACCCTGCCAGGGCTGCCAGAGGGCATGGCTGACCTCTCAGGGTTTTATCCAGCTCTCCTTGGGGTGCACCTTTATTATGGATTTTGCCTGGGTGGGTTTATCCTACAGTTGAGTTGTGCCTGGCTCCATGAATTGCTGTCCTTTGAGTTTCCTGGGAGCTGGTAGCACACCACTGGCTGACCACTGGTCCACATGGGCTGTTTGGAAACTTTACTCAGCAAAGCATCACAAATGTACCTCACGGTGCAAACTCTGGGGAGTAACCTGTGAGCGACACTGGATTTGGCAGGGGGTGGATTGGGTTTGGATTTGGGGATTTTCCCAGATCCTTCTTTGTGCCAGGTCTGGCATTTCCATTCCCCAGGACCCTGGAATTCCTGTTTCAGAGATGGGTTGAGAGCAGCAGCGCTCGGAGGAAATTTTGCAGGAGCACAAGGCAGGAGACAGCTATTCCTGCTCCAGAAACGGGAAATGAGGCTCCGGGAGCTGAGGCAGCTCTGAGGAGTTAAAAATCACAGTGAGAGTTGACAGTGAAGTTCTGATTTACCAGCGTGTGTCCCAAGACCAGCTGCTGCCAAGACCCTCCGACGGGCAGTGGGTTCATGACTGTGCCCGGTGCCCACATGGTGCCATGCCCAGTGCCAGTGCAGTGCCGTGCCTGGTGTCGTGCTGCTGCCAAGACCCTCTGAGGGGCAGTGGGTTCATGACTGTGCCCGGTGCCCACATGGTGCCATGCCCAGTGCCAGTGCAGTGCCATGCCCAGTGCCCATGCGGTGCCATGCCCAGTGCCAGTGCAGTGCTGTACATGGTGCTTGTGCAGTGCTGGTGCCCGTGCAGTGCCATGCCTGGTGCCCACGTGGTGCTGTGCTTGGTGCTTGTGCAGTGCCATGAGGGGCACGTGAGGTGCCATGCCCAGTGCCTGTGCGGCGTTGTGCCGGGTACCTGTGTGGTGCTGTGCCCCATGCCCCTGCAGTGCCGTGCCCGTGCCGTGCTGTGCTGGGTGCCTGTGCCATGCGGTGCCTGTGCCATGCCCAGTGCCTGTGCAGTGCCGTACCTGGTGCCCGCATGGGGCCGTGCCTGTGCGGTGCCATGCCCATGTGGTGCTATGCCCCATGCCCCTGTGGTGCCGTGCCCATGCTGTGCCATGCCCAGTGCCTGTGCAGTGCTGTACCCGGTGACCACGTGGAGCCATGCCTGTGTGGTGCCATGCCCATGTGGTGCTATGCCCCATGCCCGTGCTGTGCCATGCTCAGTGCCTGTGCGGTGCCGTGCCCGGTGCTTGTGCGGTGCCGGTGCCCATGCCATGCCATGCCTGGTGCCCACATAGTGCTGTGCCTGGTACTTGTGCAGTGCCATGCCCCATACCCCTGCAGTGCTGTGCCCTATGCCCCTGTGATGCCCTGCCCAGACTCCTGCAGTGCTCTGCCCATGCCCCTGCAGTGCCATGCCCCGTGCCCCTGTGGTGCTCTGCCCATGCCCCATGCCCTTGCTGTGCTCTGCCCATGCCCCATGCTCCTGCGGTGCCATGCCCCTGCGGTACCTTGCCCATGCCCCTGCGCTGCCCTGTGGTGCTGTGCCTGTGCCCCTGTAGTGCCCTGCCCATGTCCCATGCCCCTGTACTGCCCATGCCCAGAGCCCCTGTGGTGCCCTTCCCATGCCCAGTGCCCCTGCGTTGCCCTGCCTGTGCCTCTGCATTGCCCTGCCCATGCCCAGTGCTCCTGCGGTGCCCTGCCTGTGCCCAGTGCCCCTGTGGTGCCCTGCCCATGCCCAGTGCTCCTGTGGTGCTCTGCCCATGCCCAGTGCCCCTGTGGTGCCCTGCCCATGCCCCTGCACTGCCCTGCCTGTGCCCCTGTGTTGCCCTGCCCGTACCCCTGTGGTGCCCTGCCCATGTGCCGTGCCCCTGTGGTGCCCTGCCCATGCCTGTTCCCCTGCGGTGCTCTGCCCATGCCCAGTGCCCCTGCGTTGCCCTGCCCATGCCCAGTGCCCCTGCGGTGCCCTGCCCATGCCTGTTCCCCTGCCGTGCCAGCACTGTGAACACAGCTGGCTGGGCTGAGCGTGCTGCACGCCGGGCACCGCTGGATGCAGCGGCTGCCGCGGCGCTGTGAGCCCAGGGAGTCGTTCGTGCCAGCTCTCGTGGCACCGGGCTCTTTCCATCACTACAGGTGTGGGCTTCAGTCCTTGCCAACAATACAGGGTGCTGGGATCGCTGCTTTCCGGGGAACACCCCGGTGTCACCAGCCTGTGTCTCACGAAGGGAGCTGTGCATGAGTGGCAGCGCTGAGCTCCCAGCCTGAGAGGTGCTGTTATTTATTAGGATCTGTGTAAATAATAATGCTCCAGCCCAGGAGCTGAGGAATCTGCATTTGGTGGTTGCAGAGGCATCGTTTGCAGGTCATTGTTTTAGTGTGATGTCAGTGGAGTGTGTGGAGGAAAACCTGCCAGTGTCAGGTAGTCAGAAGAAGTACAGGAGATGGTCTTTTCTGGGGAGAGAAGGTGGGGTAGGAGGTGCTGGGGGATCTCACAGAAGTTCCAGTGCTGTGTCCTCATCCTCTGGTTGTCAGACACCCAAATCCTCGGGAAACCGCAGCAAAGTGCTCACCTCACTTCATCTGCACTGGAGAATCACAGGTTTTACCTTTCCTTTGGGATCTGAGCTCAGTGCACACCTCCTGCAGAGGAACCTCCGGCCTGCCCTGGAGCTTGGTGCCAGAAAAGCCTTGGGGCACCAAGTGAGCTTTTTGAGAGAGGGGTCTGAGGGGCAGAACAGCAGCAAGGAGGGGTCCAGGAGTAGTTTAGAGAACTGTGCCACATCTGTAAAAACTCTTAGTTGCATGATGGCATCCTGGTGTCATCTGGGAACCTGAATCAGCTGGATCAAGACCCTCCAAAAGATCATTTGGAAGCCAAAACACGCTGGAAAGTCTTTTGCCCTTTTTGGGAAAGCAGAAGGCTGTTTTCTGAGCTGTGAGGAGCTGGGGGAATGGGCTTGGTCAGTTCTAGGATTTGGGGAATGGGCTTGGTGTGCTCTGGGATGTGGATACTGGTACACAAAAGCACCACTTGGCCAGTGATCTCGGGAGAAGGTCTGAGCACCTGGAGCAGGAGTCTTTGCACTGGGGCTCACAGGAGGGCAGCCTTGCCCCATTTCTTGCTGTTTCAGCCCCAAAGCAAATCCTGGCCTCCTGCTACCCCTGGTCATCTAGCTCTGCTGGCATTTGCAGTCCTGCCATATCTGCAGTGGGGAGTCCCAAACTGCTGCATCTCTGCAACTCCCCTCCAAACCTGTCCCCCTGAAGTTCACGGTATTCACCTCAAAACCTCCCAGTAGTACCAAAATCCTCTGGAGTCAAGGCAGGCGACTCCCCTTGGGAGCTGGCACAGGGTGGCCAAGGGCTTCCACATTGGCCCTTCAGGACCAGCATCCCTCTGTTCTCCTGTGACCTTCAGGCTGCCCCATGCATCAGCCCTGTCCCCAGAGCCCAAGGATGACCACTGTCTCTGGGAGGCCACCCTGGGGCTCTGGGGACAGGCCTTGTCACAGAGACTCTGACACCTGGGGTGGATCCCCCATTACTCCGTGGTGTTGGGGTGGGTGGAAGGGAGATCTTAGGAATGATTGCTGAGGGAAAGCAGTTGGGGGGGATGGTGTGCTGGGCTGCAGCACACAAAATGGTGATCTCCATTTTGGGGAATGAGGGAGCATGGCACTCCTGAGGAAGGGAGTCTCTGGGAATGGTGAGGTCGGGCCTCCCTCTGGCATTTCCCCTCAGGGTTAGGAGGATAGGGCCTTTCCCTTGTTCCACGTCCTGCTCAGTGGCTGCCAGGTGGCACAGGAGATTGTGGCCACTCAGCCCGGTGTCCTGCAGAGCAGGGCGAGCCGTGGGACAGCCTCATTAACTGCTGTGCCTTCTTCTCTCTCTTCCCAAGGCTGCAAGATCAAAGCCCTGCGGGCAAAGACCAACACCTACATCAAGACCCCGGTGCGGGGGGAGGAGCCGGTCTTCATGGTGACAGGGCGGCGGGAGGACGTGGCCATGGCCCGGCGGGAGATCATCTCGGCGGCCGAGCACTTCTCCATGATCAGGGCCTCCCGCAACAAGGCGGGCACCACCTTCGGCAGCGCGCCCACCCTGCCGGGGCAGGTCACCATCCGCGTGCGCGTGCCCTACCGCGTGGTGGGGCTGGTGGTGGGACCCAAGGGAGCCACCATCAAGCGGATCCAGCAGCAGACCAACACCTACATCATCACGCCCAGCCGAGACCGGGACCCGGTCTTTGAGATCACCGGCGCGCCGGGCAACGTGGAGCGCGCCCGCGAGGAGATCGAGACGCACATCGCGGTGAGGACGGGCAAGATTCTGGAGTACAACAACGAGAACGACTTCCTCTCCAGCAGCCCTGACTCCGGCATGGAGAACCGCTACTCAGAGGCTTGGCGGGTCCACACGCCAGCGCCGGGCTGCAAGCCCCTCTCCACCTTCCGCCAGAACAGCCTGGGCTGCATCGGCGACTGCTCTGTTGACCCCGTCTACGAGACCCCCCGGCTGAACGACCAAAACGACTTCAATTACGGTTACCTCTTCCCCAACTACGGTGTGAACAAGCAGGATTTGTACTACGGGGTGCCGGAGTCAGGGGCCCCCATGTGGGCTGGGCAGGAGAACACCAACCCTGTCTCGGTGCTCTTCTCAAAGCAGCAGCGCTCCAGCAGCACCGGCACCATCCACCCCAACTCCCACCGCTCGCCGTCCTCCTCCATCCCGGAGCCCGGCCTCTCCGGGCTGCCGCGGCGGTCGCAGGGGGAGCCGCTGCAGGGCTTTTCCAAGCTGGGAACGCCCGCCGCTGCCCGGACATCGGTGGGCAGCAGCCGCGAGTGCATGGTGTGCTTCGAGAGCGAGGTCACGGCCGCGCTGGTGCCGTGCGGCCACAACCTGTTCTGCATGGAGTGTGCCGTGAGGATCTGCGAGAGGACTGATCCCGAGTGCCCCGTCTGCCACGCGGCAGCCACTCAGGCCATTAGAATATTTTCCTAAAGAGACAGAGCAGGGCATTGGGGGGGTGGGGGCAGGAAGGGAGAGTGGGGGGGGTCCGTGAGAGAAAAATGATGATGATAATAATAATAATAATGATAATAATAATAATAATAATGACATCTGAAGAACAAAAAAAATGAATGAAAGAATAAATTAATTTAAAGAAGAAAAAGAAGAAAAAGAAGAAAAGAAAAGAAATTATTTTACAAGCAATGTATGTTATTTTTTAAAAAAAAATAATAAGTGAATAATAAAATTAAAATGAATAGCAAAGCCAGAAATTTTGAAGGGCGAACAATGCTCCAGCCTGCAATGTCTTTTGTAAACCAAGTACTCAGAACGCACACTCGGATCTCGCAAGCGAAGCAGTTTAGTTCAGTTTTTTTTGGTGGTGAGATTGGGACTTCTTGGCGATGACCAAGCCAGGCCACCTGGATCGAGCGGGGAGGGAGCAGGGATGCAGGGAGGGCCCTGCCAGCCTTTCTCCAGCCACCTTCCACCTTTGTCTTGGCCTGAAGCCCCCACTCTCCTCCCCCCAGGGTTGTCGGCCCAACTGGGAGCTCAGAAAGAAACAACAGAAAGAAAGGAAAACGGAAGACAGGGATTTAGAAGAACAAGAAAGAAACCATCAACCTCTGGGAACCTGTTAGAACGAGGGCACAACTGTATTACCTCAAAGATTTAAACAAAAAAAAAAAATCACAGCTAAAGAACTTTTATTGTTTTCCTTTTTTTCTAAAAAAAAACCCAAACAAAAAACACAAAAAAAAGAAAATCAAAAAAAGAAGGTGAAGAAATAAAAACGACGCCAGTGAAACTGAAGAAGGTTTGGAAGAACCTACTGGGATCACACCAGGCGACGAGCATTTATTTTGTTATTCTGAGCCACCGTGGAGTCTGGAACTTTGTTCTTTTTTCCTTATCCAAGCAGGGATTTGTTCATCAGTCCAATCAGGAGTCACTAACAGGGTATTTCCAAAGCATTCCCGAGTTCCCGTCCATGGGGGGAGTGCATCGACTTCCACGTTTCCTTAGGTCACTCTTCATTCTTTCCTCCAAGTGATGCCAGCTGCAGCTACACACACCACACGCACACACACAGAACATTGTGCTTTTCTTTTCTTAAAAAACATACCTATTGCACCAAAACCTAAGAGAGACGATCATGCAATACAGGCAAATGAGCCCATATGAAACCAACATGCATCCCAACAGAGAGCAAAAAAACCCCAAGTTTATAGAGATAATTTTGTTGTCGTCGTTTTTAAACTGGACCAAAACTTTTGTTACCCAAATCAAGTAGGGGAAAAAAAAAAAAAAACAAAAAAGAAGAAAAAGTATTTCTTTATGGACCAAAACCTCTTCAGCTGTCCTTTTCCTGGATCTTCCTGAGGTTGGCCACTTTTATATATTATATTTTTTTCAGAACGAAACAAAACAGAAAAAAAATTGCCTTGTTGAACATCCTTTAATCATTTCAAGACTCCTGGTTTTGTTAAATGAGATACTTTAAAACCATTGGGAAGTGGGAGAGGATGGGCTTCAGATCTGGCTCCCGTGCCAACGCATGCAAGGTGCAGGCCAGCACCTTCACTCCATCAGGTTTGTTCAGCTGGTCTGTGGATGCCAAAATGCTGTGATGTTAAAAATGTGTTGGATTGACCTATTGAGTACCAGTACACCCAGCTATAATATATGTGTGTATATATATATATAGGCACTTAATTAATCAAGCACCTATATATATATATATGTGTGTATATAAACCCATATATATAATTTTTCTCCCACTACCACCGCTTCCCCATTTCCCACCCCTCAACTTTTGCTCACAGATCCTGGACCCTGATTTAGAACTGAACCAACAAGTTGCACAACTTGGCACAGACAGTTCTAACATCAAAAAAAAAAAAAAACCCAAACCCAAACAAACAAGCAAAAAAAAAAATCACCTGAGATTTTTTATTCCCTTCAGTTACAGGAGACTTTATTTTCATCGTGGTAGTGTTCCTGGGAACATCCTCCCTCCTGCTTGGTTTGCTGCCACTTGCTCCCTGGCACAGCGGGCTCAGGCCGGCCGTGGCTGCGGTCACCGAAGGCTGAGCTCACTCTGCTGGTGCAGGTGCTGCTGGTGCTCTGTGCTGATAAAAATCCACTTCTGATCTTCAGATACCAGTTGGAGGGTTTGAAATGATGGTGGGATGATGGGATGCCTCCAGTGTTTTGCATCGACAGTAATCTATTCCGTAGGGGTGGGCAATGTTCCCGGGCTGTAGTAGATGCTGAAGTTTTGGAAACAGTAAAGACAAAAGTAACGATGCCGTGCTAACGGGACACCGTCAGGCAGGATTGGTACTCCCCTCCTCCCCAAAGCTCCAGGAAATCCCTGGCCAGGCGTTGTCCCGGCCCTGCAGCAGAGCCTTTCACACCAGGAGTTGGGATGCGAGCACTTCCTGGGGGAAGGCGCCGTGTTCTGCACCCGCCGGTGTGGGGCCTGTAGGATGATGGGGGGCTGGGCTGCTCTGGATGAACCCCCAGAGCCCCCACGTCCCGAATTGTCCTGCGGCACAGCCATCCCTCCCCGTGGCAGGGTGGCATCAGCAAAGGAGCTCTGGCCAGCGCTGGCCACATCCTCCCTAAAACTGACCCATTCTCACTCAAAATCTGGCCTCAGTCTGGTCCCAGTTAAGGGAAGGGAAGGGAGAGGGGGACACTCCTGTTCTCTGGGAACCTCTCCCCTCCCAGTGCCACCTCCTCCATCCTGCCCTCCCCACACCACCCCACCCCACCCCAGGGTTGTATTTTATCCGTTCACGGCGCAGAATTCTCCCGCTGATGTAGAGAGAGTGGTTGAAGCACGACAGGGGGGTGGGCAGGGGGATCAGCCACCCTTCAGAGGGGCGTTCAGAAACGTTGGTGTTGGGGCTGGAGGGGCTGAGCTGGAGGCGGTGGCCGCAGCCCCCGTGTTAGTGAGTGAGTAGTCGTTCTTGGCTGAGTGGAGTCTGTTCGTGGTAATGTGAGCAAGTTCTTGATCAATGTCTTTATTTGATGCCAGGTTGTGAAGAGGTGGGTGGGAGTGGGGAGGGGGGAAGGAGACCCCTGTGTTGGGGACCTGGGGTGGGGGGACCTGTTCTAGCACTGACTGTAGGGGGTGGGGAATGGGGAAGGTGCAGGGGGCTCTCCTCTGCTCCTTGTACCTCCTCCCTCACCTTAACAAGCGAAAACGATGTAAAAGCCTCCTGCATGCTGAAAAAATGTTAGAGAAAAAGACAAAACCCCTTTCTTTAAAAAAAAAAAAGAAAAAAAAAGAAAAAAAGAAGGGAAAAAAAAAAAAGAATCATGACCCAAACAAACGTCCAGTGCTTGCTGTTGGGAACCAGAGTGGGGCTGTCCTGGGGGGGCTGCTCCTCTCTGTAGATGACGTTCCTACTCAAGTCTCCAAGTTGGCCTTTAATAAAATCTTCAGTTCCAATAACCTTTATATATATATATATATATACACATATATATATACATATACATATATATTAAAAAAAAAGCTTGATGTAGCAGTTCTAGTTTAAAATGAATAGAAGTATTTCGGCCCCTGTTTTATTTTGATTTTCCCCTGTCCCCTGCTTCCCGCTGTACCCCCCCACCGACTCCATATTTTGATGTAGCATCTTTGGAAGAAAGAAAAAACAGGCGCTGTAAATGCACCGAGAGCTACCTCTGCCTCGAGTGGGGGCTGCAGGGAACTCGGGGGGCTCGGGCCTCTCCCTGGCCCCGTGGGGCACCCGGAGAGGGGCAGCCTGGGCCCTGCCTGTTGGCATCCATGGGGAGCCCGGTTGCGGGGCTTAAACAACAAATTTGCGTAATTTTTTTTCCTCTTTTTAAATATATGTATATATATAAAAATCTTTAAAAAAAAAAAATAAAAACAAAAAACAAGAAAAATGCCCATGACCTTAACTATTTGCTCTGACTTGTATCTTCCTTGATAGGTGACTAAAAATGGCTTGTTGGTCTAATTCACCAGCAATAACGATAACTAAATACAGCCCCCTCCTCCTGCACCCATCCCTTTTCTGCAGCGCCCACCGAGCTGGCTCCTCGCACTTCTCCCCTTCCCTCCCACCACGAGGATGCCCTTGGTGACCCCTTCTTGCAGTGTGAACCAACTGGCCTGAACCTCGCTGGCTTCAGCTGCCCCCACGATCCCTCCCAGGCTTTTGGGGTAACCCCCTCGGGGTGCTGAAGCCATGGGGACACCTGGGCTGGAGGGAGGCAGGTGAACTGGGACCCCATATGCCAAACCGGGTCTTCCTCCCTCTGGGTTAGGAGCAGCATGACCCTTGTGGGAGTCTGGTCTGTGAGACCTCCATCCTGCAAAATCACGTCCCACCAAAGCGGGGTGGGTTCCTGGGAGCGATGACAGGACACGGGCACCCCCTGAGGGGGCTGGTGCCAACGGGCACCGCTGGTTTCCCCTATCCCCGGGGCTGGCATCAGCCCCTGGGGCCGCTGGAGCAGGGGTGGGGACCGAGGTGACCCGTGCCATGCCGTGCCATGCTGTGCTGTGTGAATACTGGTGGTGGTGGTCTTTGTGAGGCAGCGACACGAGGGCACAAGCAGCGGCACCAAGGGCAGGTGCCCAAAACCCAGGGCTGGGAGCAGAGAGAGCAGAGCTGCGCTGGAAGGCGCTGAGCTGCTGGCAGGACATGTCCAGGTTTGGGCAGAACATGTCCAGGTCCAGGCAGGATGTGTCCAGGTTGGTTCAGGACGTGTCCAGGTCCAGGCAGGATAGGTCCAGGTTTGTTCAGGACATGTCCAGGTTTGTTCAGGACGTGTCCAGGTCCAGGCAGGATGTGTCCAGGTTGGTTCAGGACGTGTCCAGGTTTGTTCAGGACGTGTCCAGGTCCAGGCAGGATGTGTCCAGGTCCAGGCAGGATGTGTCCAGGTTGGTTCAGGACGTGTCCAGGTCCAGGCAGGCTCAGCCCCACAGGGGGACAGGGACTGTA